TTCCCTACAGTTCAGAATTCAGCAACAAAAAATGAAAATTAAAAAATGCAATATGGGTGACCTCCCCAGGCTTGAAAATTGTAACAATCTTGTAGGTATGTTACTAGCAGCTTTATTTCATAGTCAGACTTAGGCCAGGTACAGATATTACATTTTTACCAGTATAAGTGATCAGAAACCAGTCGATACCAGTTTCAGAACAGAAGTTTGGCGCACACCAACTGGTTTAAAAATGTCAGAACCTGGTCTAAGACTTGCCCCTTCCCCTCCCCCTCCCCATGTGCCCCTAAAGGGTGAATGTGTGCCGTTTGCTATCAATCTAAACTGTGGCACTTCCAGAAATCCATGTAACTTAGATTAATTCTGATTCGGGCTTTTTGAATGTCTGTACCTAGCCTTAGGCTGTTATCATGAAGAGGGAGCATCATACATCCTTTGCATCCCCAAAGTGCACTTTGTGCTCCCCAGCCAGAGGCCCCCAATTTGTTTCATATCCAACATTTGTACGGCAGCGAGGTGCATAAAGGTGAGTTAAAAATAAAATGGAAATCTTTATCTGCATCGAGCGCCACAGATAGAAACTGATTTTATTAATGCATAAGATTCTGCCCTTCCCTACCTCTAAGTCAGGGGTTCCCAAACTGTGGTACACATACCCCTGGGGTATGCAAGAGATCTCGGGGGGGTACACGGGAGAAACTGTGTAATGGCAGATTTAATATTCATTATAATAGTTGGCATTTAAGGGGTTAAAATATAAAACGCCTGCCAGTAGGAGTAGGAGGACAGCTGGTAAAGCTGGAAGGGGGGTATGCAATAAGGAAAAGTTTGGGCACTTCTGATCTAAGTAATTCCAATTGTTGAAGGTATCCTAATAGCCACAGTATACTTGCCAAGTCACTACAGTTAGAGGTATTTGGTGGTGGAATGATGCATTCTGGCACGGCCTGTCTAGCTGGTGGCCTATGTGCTGTACAGCTCAGCCCCTGGACTCCCAGTCTGGGTACTGCTTGCCCTACTGCCTCCTGCTGCTACCAGGATCTCAGGGCCAATCCACCCTCCTCCAGCTTTTGTTTCCTGTCCCCTGCACTGGGTGCGGTGCAAGAGGCCCATGGTGTGCAGCCTGCACAGTGTATGGCTCCCAGCCCTGTTATGGGATACAGGGTGCATCTACACATGATGAACTACAGCACATTAAGGGCATGTGTCTACATGTGCACATCCTTAATGTGCCTTAAGAATGGCAATTTTAGGTGTGAATAGCTAAAGTGCATTAATGCGTGTGTAGACATGTTAAGGAGCGTTAATGCTGTGTATGGACTTACCTGGGACTAACTTCAGTCCCGCATCAGCCCATGCACATGGTGTTAATGCGCTCTAACATACACATGTGTAGACATGAGCCTAAATCACCTTAATGTGCATTAAATTTAGACCTAAATGCACATGTAGATGCCCACAGAATCTTAAACCTGGAGCAGCTTCTAGGATTGAGTTCAATGCCCTGTACTTATAACCTACCACATCCTAGAACCCCTTTAAAAATGAGCAAGCTCCATCTTAAAGTAGGAAGATTATACTTGGGGGGAGTGGGGTGGACACCTGAAGAGATTTAATTAACACTTGTGACAAAGTACTTCTGGCAAGTCATCTGGCACTCTGCTCTTCTATTTCACAACAACATGCCTATCTTCCCTCAAAAAGAAGATTATACCCTGTCTTGCACAGAGTATAGTAAACACTGTCACTACACATGTTCAGTGCGTGTTCTTCCTCTGAAGCTAGGGTCAGCACCTTTAGGAACCATCCCGTTAGGGCTCGTTCTTGTGCCCTGCCACAGTCTCCACTTAACTTTGCCAAGTGCTGCAGGTTGCTGTGGCTAATGCTGAGGGGTAAATTCAGTAGCAAGGGTAAAAAGCAGGTAGGGCTGGAGCAGCAGTGGGGGGGCAAGAGGTGGAATGCAGCATGCGTTGGGACAAACAGCACTTAGCAGGCAGAAGGACCCACAAAGCTAGGACATGGCTTGTTGATCTCTGTGTACTGATGTACTTGGTACCAAATGAACAAACTGCACCTGTAATTGGTGCTGCCCATGCCACGTTATGTTCCCTGATCCCTTGAGCTCGCTCTCCATATAAAGTATGACTTCTAGGTTTTCTGTGTTGCTTGGGAGAAGAGTCCTTTTTTCCTGGACATGTTGCTGCCTCCATCCTTCCACTGCCCTGATCCTTCTGGACGAGGACAACACTTCTATCTACACAACTATTGAAATTATTTAGTCTCAGAGTGCCAAATCTGGTATCCTCTCCAACATTCCCCAAGTGCTTTGTTATAAGATTTTTATATGAAAGCTTACTCATAATGTGTACTTTGCTCTGTATTGAGCTGTTAGTGATTTTTCTTCTCTGTTAATTAAGATGGCTTTTAAGCCCAACAACTTGTTGAATTAAAAATGTATTTTAACCTACTGCCTGATGAAAGTTATTGCTGTGTTTTCATACTACAGAACCTTTATTGCTTTGGTACAGTGAGGTGCACTTTACCCCCAAATCAATGCATTGTCTGAATTGTCACGGTAGTCTTCAATCTTGGCACAATATAACAGGATATCAGCTAAATCATTCCTGATTTTCCAGTTAAAGTTTGCAGTACTTGATACTAGAAACATTATTTTATAAAAACAGAAAACTTCAAATGAAAACAACTGCATGAATGTCGCAATGTTTTTATACAAACTTTTCTAACTATATTTGCATTTCAGTTGTGTTAGGAGAGGATTTATTAAAACCTTATTCCCTGGAATTTAAAAAAAATAATACTGGGGGGAAGAGAGGATTTTTTTTTTTTTTTAAAGAAACTCTTCACATTGGCTCTTATTCCAGTTATGTGCTACCTCAAGAAACAAACTAGAACCAGTTTTGCACTGGCACCTCTATCATCTTGGTCTTCCAGAATAACTGCTATTTCAGGTTAAGTCGGCATTGATTCACTTGCATCTCTGTTCTGCGCGCTTTTTTTTTTCTTCCAGGTGCCTTGCAGGTTCTCTGAATTTTTCTAACAGTCCTTTAGTTAGCGCATTTTAAAGCCATCCCAGTGTAATTTAACTACTTTTACATCCAGTTCTTCCTCAAAGTCTTTCTTTAAATGAGCATTTTGCTCACTGTAGGTTAAGGTGACTCTGTCAGTGACATCATACTTGGCGTGGCTCCTACATGTTATTGTGAGAGGTTGTAATAAACAGCTTTCTTATTGCAACATCTTTTCTGGAGAAGTAGAAGAGAAGCTACTATTGTATGTATGCGTGCCAATAACTCTGATGTCAACTAGACATTTCTTGCTGGGGTTCTTGCCCGAGAAGGGACATTGCTCATTTCAATTTTAAAAAAAGAAAGTCTCAAATGTAATCAAAGCAAAAATGGATCTTAACAGAACATGAGCCTCAAAATAAAAGAGAGAAGGGATTTTTATGTAAATCACCATTTAGGCCGCAACATGGAAATTTTCTGCATTTCTAGCAATGTCATATCAATTTAAAAAAAATACCCTTTGACTGAAAGAGGAGTGTCCTCAATATATTTCCACACATTTTTTTTCTGCTTTTCACTTCAAAACTAATTGTACCAATTGTTTGTATGACAAACTGATATAAAGCAAACCGGAAAGATCAAACCAAGGAGTAGGCTGGCAAGTTTATCTAACTTTTTTCTCTTCTGGATTTAGGGCCTGAACCTGGCACCTGATTCTTGTATCTCTTGTTATCTCCAATTTTTTGTTCCAGTAGGAAAAGTTTCAGCACAAAGCTGGGAATCAAAACAGTCATCTTTTGCTGGACTTACAGCTGCATGAAATATGTAGCACAGCAAACAGTGTTTCAATCCTACATTAAAAGCAGCTTGTGTATTCTTTGACTATTCGTGCAACAGTGCAAAGGAAGCATTTCTGAATTTCCCTGTCTTGTTCATTTGGACTTTACTTTTCTTTCCCTTGTTTTAGAGCGGAATCAGTAGTTGGATTTAATAAGAGACGGGCTGTTTGAGTTGTGATGTTGGGTAGCATAGATTTCATCAGGTGAGATTGTCCTGCTTTTTGGAGAGACAAGGATTTTTAGGGTGATAATCTTTTCTTGGGCCACCTGCATAGTTGAGATAGTTAGATAAGCTTTTGAATCTAAGACATTAAAGATATCGCCCTGAGAAATCCTTGCCTCCTGCATAATTCCTGGGCCACCACAGTCATGACATCACTGGACCACTGCTTTTAGAGTAATGTAAACAACTGTCTCCTGCATCCTAAACTGGAATGATTTTCTGATTTCAGGCAGAAGGCAGGGTTGATTTGTACCTTACAGACTACCAGAATCAGAGATGCATAGCATAAGCTTTTGTAAGCGGCAGGCTGGTTTCATTGGATGTTGTGAAGAGACTGCAGGAAGCAGAGCTAACTAGAAAGCGGTGATTAGAATAAAAATAGCAGGGAAGGGGGGAGGAAAAAAAAGGCATTGCTGAGAGACTCAACTTTGCACTACTAAATAACTGAAGCTGCGTGTATGCATGTAAGGGGAGACAGCTTTTCTGGCAAGATCTTTTTATGACTCTCGGTAGTCTTTTTTTTAAAAATGCATTGATTGTACCACAAATAGAAGACTGTTGGGTTTTCTAGGCCAGTGTTTTGGCTATGACCAACAAAGTGAAGCTACAATAGTAAGTGGAGTGTGATATGGTCCTATGCACACTCCACTGTGAGTGCACATGCACCCTGTGAACTCAAGCCTGGAGACTTGCCTTAGTAGTAGTGTCTTAACAGTACTTCTCTGGCACGCATTCACCTTGCTCTTCCTCATGCTTTGCACCGTAAGACATTGCACAGTCCTGTTGGTCAGGTTTCCTCTCAACATCAGAATCTCAGGATGTGAAGGTCACCCAGGAAGAAAAGAGAGAAGATGCCAAATATGCCTATGGACTACACTTCTCCAATCACTATGGGAAATACATTTCTCCTTTTGAGAGCTTAGCCACATGCACATCCTGCTGTGGATAACTCATGAATGAATAGCAACTGCAGGACCATTTTCCCCAGTGTGGCATGGTATTTGGAAGCTTCAGTGACTGCACTGTTTGTTCAAGGCATGAATATTGCTTGTGGTGGCTGCCTTCAAGTGTCTGGAGGGACATTTTGAAAGGATGTCATGTATGTGTTAGCTCTGGTGGAGTATGCCTCTGACTGCTACTGGAGGCTCCGCTTTCATAACCCATGAAGGCAAAGGAACAGTATCTAGACATTTCCTTGAATTCACCTACTGGGAATTGCCTACCACCATTCTTGAGTCAGGAGTTGCATGCACCAATACCTCTCCCCAGTGGGAGTCTGTATTTGCAGTGGGATGGAGAAAGACTGTGGAAGATACAGCCTTGATAAACACTGGTGCATGTTGCAAGTCCTGGTCCTTACTGAAGTCAAACAAGGAGACAGAAGATAAAAAGCCAAGAGGTTGCGATGACAGTGGAAACAACTGTGCAGGTAAAGTGTCAGTGGCAGGCCACAGATGATAGCAGTGAGAAATTTGGCTCCTGCAGAACAATGAGGTCTCCCACTGAAGAAAGGAAGTACAACTGAAGGATAGAGTGGTCACTGAGTTGCACAGCTGGGTAGGCTGAAAACACCAGTGCCTGTATTCTCAGTGAATAAGGAAGCCCACTGTCATGCTGCAGACTCAGTGCTGGTGTTGAAAAAGCTGATGTTGAGAGTTCCCTCTACTGGTCCTCGTGATTCCATAACACTAACAGGGAGCACTGCACCCTGGCATTAAGGCATATCCAAGTTTGTTGGTGTTGCATTGCTGCCAAAGAGTCTCAGAAGTCAAACAGCAAGGAAGAGATGAGGAACACTTTTTCAGGAACCTCAACTGTAAATATTTTTCTCAACTCCTTCCATTGCCCTCCTCCCAACTTTAGACTTCAATAACAACAAAAATGTGGAGGAGTGCAGGCTCCCTCCCTAGTATTTATGCCTTCTTGGATCTTTCACCTCCTGTTCTAAGGCTGGGCCCAGATATTACCCAAACAAGGTTACACTTAAGAACCCAGCCTCACAAACTTTTCTGGCTTGGGAAATGACGGGCTTGCAAATGGCACACTTCCCTGGAACATGGGACTCTTTCAGAAAGCCAAGACACAAGTGCAGTCCACTGCTGGCCAACATAGTCCCGTCACAAATAGGTGTAGATTTTTAAGCCTGGAGACCTGGAAGAAAAAATGTTTAAACATAGGGAGTGAGGTTCTAGTTGATCTCAGATGAAGGCCTTGCTAGGCTAGGGGAAGCTATGTGATGGAAGCCAAACTCAAATTATCTCATTGATTGTTGACAAGAATAAAAAGTCTAGGAAACAAGGAAAACAAAGAAACTGCTAATTGTGAGCAAATTGTGAGTGGACAGTACATGGCTGTACAGAAGAACTAAAAATTGAGAAAAGCTCATTCCCTTTTATGCCCTCCATACAAAATCATGAGGAAGAACAAGGTGGACATGCTGTTAGGGGTACTGCTATGGTAAAAAAACCCTTATATATAGTACATATACAGCCACAGTAAAATGTACATGCAAACAACCACTTGATAGCAAACACCTATGTGTTTAGCACGGCTTTTTTCCTGTCATCAGCTAGTGAAAACAACTGATAACTTGTTACTTTACACATTTAAGTCATTTTTAAAAACCTCATAGAAAACTCTGCTGAAGAATGCTTTATGGTTCAGGTGCCCAAGGCTGTAATTTTGCTCAATTTAAGATCTCTCATCCAGAAATAACAGATTCCATTCTTCCTCTGCTTGAACAGGCAGCAAAAAGCAGACCTACAAGCACTGGCATCTTCATTTCTCCTACCACACTTCCAGTACTCGCTAAGTATTGTCATCTGCATTTTCAATTAAAAAAAAAAAAAGGAAACATTCCTTTCTTTGGCTGTGATGCTGCTACTCATAGGCAGTATAGTCTACTTGCATTATGCTAAACAGATGCTTTAAATTTATTCTTGCCTCTACCACAGAATGACAGACGACAGCAATGGACTTTTAGGCCATCCCTCAAAGATAGCTAAAGACAGGAAATGGAAGTGCCTTTAAGAACAGGCTATTGTGCTAGTTTTAAAGAGATGTTGTTAGCTTTCCTATGATTCCATTCCTCTGGCAGAAAAACTGCTTCCAATATGGCAAGATAAATAATGGTAGTATCCATCCTTCAGACTGCCTGACATTTCTACAGACTTAATATTGCAAACTCCACAACACTAACTGAGTCCATAGGCAATTTCTTCACTTATCATATACCCAACACATTTTACTAAGTTTCAAAGAAAAAGAACTAACCATACTTAAATTTTCCGTAAAATAAGATCTTACATTCTGGAAAAAAATCTAACTCACATCAATGACCACTAAAATTGTTCTGCATATGATAGCAAAAAAAGGGACTAATACTTGAGGGAACTAGTAAGAAAAGTCCCATTTCGCTAGCAGGTTAGGCCAAGTTGTCAATTAGTCAATATTGTTCAATTATTTCACTGCATGAACTCTGAACTTAAATTCATTATGAAAATGTACTATTGTGGGAAAATATATTTAATTCTCATTTAATCACTAAGTTTTCCTTTCCTTCTCATGATTAGATTGTTGTTAATTGTGCACAGATGTTTTGCTGCTATTTCTACAATTCCTTGCTTGCTCTTTTGTCCTGTTTCAGTACTGAGCTGCAATATCCATGTTTTCATTGAAGTGCTCTGTGGTTTAGACAAGGCTAGCCATGCTGATTTAAAACGTTTACACCCTTCACCTCTTTAGGAGATAATGCCTCTTCTTTCTGATCTGTATTTGATGGTGACTGTACATTACTTCTTGACTCCTTCTTCATAGCCATCAGTACATCCCTCTTCTGCTTCAGGTAATCTTCTCGTTGTTTGAGCTCATGTACTCCAAGCTCTGATAAATTCTGGAATTATTTAAAAGGTGAATTTACTTGAAAACTGATTTCAGAGTGTGCACACACTCGTGTATTTGTTAATGAAAGGACATGGAATTTAGCTAATGCTTACCTCGATATTTGACCCTAGAAATACTGAATGAATGAATAAGAGTTGAAGAATGAATGAATGAATGAATGAATGAGAATTAAAGTGTCATAGTCATCCAAATTACACCATACATGCAGATGTTAAGAAACTCTTAAACGGGCAAACTTCAAAAACTGAATTCTGTTCCAAGGCTGAGATTTCTAGGTCCAGTTTCTACTGAATTGTAGCTGTCTAAAAATTAGATCACTGAACTTACTGAAAAATTAGTTATATACAGAAAATTTCCACAAAAAAACTTCTTGCTTCTGACAAAAGAAATTATACTGGTTATATAATACTGTTTACTATATAATAGCATTAGACTGCTGTTTGAAATCTTGCCCATGCTTTAAGTGGAGTAATCATTTTACTTACACGTCCTTCAGTCCCAGCTTCTCCTGTTACATTTTCTGAACAACTTCCAGTTGCCTTTTTCTTAGTCTCTTCTTTCACTTTGGTTGTGGCAAGCTCTGGAGGGGGTTCTGGCTCTCTTATCGGACGCTGCACTGGCCTTAATTTTTCCCTAGTAGATTTCTGTGTTTCTTCTAGACAGCAATTTGGCATAAAAACAAATTAGAAACACTGCAGATATAGATATATCAAATTAAAAGATGTTGGATAAATTAATATTCCCCCAATATAGGAAAGTCTATTCAATTAGAAGTAAACTTCTAATTGAGACAGGAAATAGTAGAATAACTTCTTTGGACTAATCTTTTTTTGTGAGGGGAAGCGCCAGAAAAAAATACTTCATATGCATATGTTGGTACTGTGAGATCAACTTGTTCTCCACAGAGTCAGGTTCCTGACTCTGGCAGCACCCTGACCTCCCAAAAAGATCCCAAACACAGAATTTGTTTGTTTTGGGGACAGTAGGAAAAGCGTGGGAAGCATGCTTCAAACAAGGTAAGGCATATATTCAGCTTTCTAAATCTCCCACCATCTCAGACACTTTCTTCAACAGAAAGCTAATGGTTATACTGAAAATAAAACATGTGGAGAAGTTAGGTCTACCTCAACAAACTTGCCTACTCCTATGCACTGATTACTTCAATAAATGGTGGCAGTTAGGTATCTGCATCCAGAAAGTCTTACAATCCTGATCAGACCTATCAGAGGATTAAAAAAAATACATGAGCAGCCATCCCTCCCTGAACAGTAGAACCTATGGAGAGCGCCAAAATATTCTAAACTGTGAACTTAATCACACTCACAATTCTCCTGGCAAAAGCTTGTCTATTAAATTGTCCATAGACAGCCTAAGCAGTCAAAACTCCAGAGAGAAATGTCAGCAGGTGTGTTCCTGGTTCATGGCGTGGCTACTTGTTTAAATTACTGTACGTCCATTGAGACTTCTGAAGCTCCCCTGACGTTGTATCATAAAATATAATGTCATGAGTAACCTGACCTTATATATACTCCAAACAATTGTCTTTGAGGTATAAGGTGAGAACTGAATTTTTTTTCCCAGAACTCAAGGATCCATCTATGACTCTACTAAATCTAAAGTCATGCCCTTAATCAACTAAGTCTCTAGCAATGGAAAAACATGCATTCCCAACCTATATAAACATCCACTATAACAACCAAAAATTGTATAGATACACACTATACCTTCAACAGCCAAGATGGATCACTATGAATTAACAGTGCTGTTTCCCTTGTAAGAGCATACTTTCTTTTGTATTTGTGCTTCTCCTTTTCTTTAGTTCTGTCTAAATAAATTTTACACACAAAACAATATTAAGAGAATGTTAAGGTGGCAAAGTCAAGCACTCAGATTTTGGAAATGCCAAAACTAACATTGCCTGTGTAACCTTAATTAAGTCCTCTTGTGTGAAGACACTGTGATACAGCCTTCAGGTAAATGACTGTCTACTTATTGTTTTACATTGCATATCTCCTAGGAGACAAAGAGAGGCTTTAGTGTTCCTGAGTTTTCGTTACATTGTGAGGCCCTTGAGCATCCTGTTGATGACAACATATTTACAACCATTTGTGTATGCAGTCATCTATTCCAATGGCAGCTACTCTTATTACAGTTGCAACATAGATATTAAAATCTCACCAATGGACTGATTTTCAAAAATACTGTTTCTTTTTGGAAGAGACTCCTCTCCCTCTTCCTCTACTAACTGGTACATACTAATAAATACTAGTTGTACTAGCTATATAGGACAAGTGGTGAAGATTGGTAAACTGTCAGCTTAATGTTAGAATAATAGGCAAGTTATGTCAAAAATATGCACCCTACCAATCCTCTCTTCATGAACCTGATATATGCACAAATGGTATGTTGAGAGAACAATTTCAACTAGCCCCATAAGTTTTACCAACCAAAATGTAAGGCCTGATCCACACTATGACTGACAGTTACAGAAATCCTATTAACTGAAGAATATGGACTAATCAAAAATGAGAACAGATGTTTTGTAAGATTTCATTAATTGTTATCTCTGCATGGTGACCGATCAAATATGTCAAATTTCTTTCTGTTGTTGCAAAATGAAAGACTACACTAAATCAGAGCCAATCCAGGTGTCTGTGAAGAGACTAAAATCAAACTGCACAGTTCTGTCGACAGCTAGAAGTGCAGATGAAAAAGCACGAAGTGCAAGGTTGAACCAAAGATCACAGCACAAATGGGCCTGCAGAATATAACTTGCAGAAGTAGGTTGATGGCTGGAGCTAAGAGTAGGTGATTAACATATGGCTCAACACGTTTTCACAAACAAAATATGTTTTCAATAATGGAATTGTCCATACAAAACTACAAGAAATCATCAGTGTAGTGCTTCATTTTCTCACTAGATGATGAAATGCAGTACCGCTTGTATCATGGCTGGACATTTCAAATCACTATCAGAAGCATGGGTCTTTCTCCAATTGGCTGGCATCAATTTTGCCAAGAACCACCAGGTCATACCATCCAGCAGAAAATTTATTAAATGCCACATGTTGTTCAATGCATTGTTCCCTGAAACTGAAACATGTATAAGAGACCTGGCCAGCTGAAGACCCCTGAATGATAAGAACTAAAGTTCTATTACAGAAAAGAAATTTATTAAAATCCCACCTAGGGAGACCACTGAGAAATGGAGAAAGAGAATACAAACACAGCTGTCAAAATACTTTGAGTGAATCATCTGAATATCTGTCTAGAAAAACAAATCACTAACTGAAACTAGGCACCCACCTTCATTCCAGTTCCAACTAATACATAAAAAATTACTTCTATATGTGTATTGTTAACCAAATGATGAGTTAGTTGCACTAAACTAAATGCTTCTCATAAAATAGGTACCTTAGTTAAAACCCTCTCAATAAAATGTATGATGACATTTCTATTTAACTAATAAGATTACTCTTATAGATTTAGTGTAACTTCTAGATAACTAATTAAGTGGGAGACACTCATTACACTAAGTTTAATACTATATATTACATAAAATTGTATTTCCTTATTGTGAAAGATACTGAGAGGAAAACCCCTCAGCATTTCAAAGACTTCACAAAGTTACTGCAAGTAAGAAAACTAACCTAAAAAAGAAAAAGTTTTGAATTGGCTTGTAAGCAAGATTTTACCACTGTGTAAACCTTTAAAGTGGAATGAAAACCAACAACAGTAACATTTTTGAGAAGTTAAAATAGTTTCAAAATAATTACATATGAATTATGTTTTGGAATGAAATGTATAAACAACTTCAATAGGCACACATGCCAAAACTAGGCTAGGGGTGCATCTACACCTACTATTAATGTGAATTAATTAAACCCCAGCGCAGTTCATATCTGACTATATTGCTGCTGGGCACTGCGTTTACACGTGTCTGGGACTACAGCATGTTGAGCTGGGGGTCAGCCTGCCAGGCTGGGGCTGCTTCCCCCTGCCCATCTCAACGGGCTGCGGAGGGGCTGGCTGGGGCACAGGAGTGCTCCAATGTGGGGCTAGCTGGCAGGCAGCCCCTGCACTGAAGCACCCTTGTGCCCCAGCCAGCCCCATCAGCATCTACAAGTGCATTGTGGCACACTAAATGCTGCTGGAGGATAGTACTTGTGTTTACAAGTACTAATCTACAGTGGAGTTAGTTAGTTTCCTGCAGCCTGACAGGGCCACATGCATAGATGCTGAGACTTTACTGTGGATTAATCAGCTCCACAATAAACGTCTCATACAGATGCACCCTAGAAATACCATCTGGGCAAGTTAATTTTGAAATTAATTCATGTTCCATGATAATTAAGTAGCCTGTATAAATTCCTAAATTCTATTATGGAATTGTTTGATTGAACTGAGCAGTCCCATATCTTCATGGGCATATAAACTTAATTAGAGATAAAACCTATATTTAAGGATCCATAGTTCCATACTAATGGCAAAATCACATGCTCAAGAGAAGTGCATAACTAGGATAAAAGTTTGTATTTATAAGTAGATTGTGGTAAATTAGCTGAACTAATTTCTCTCTTAAACTAACTGTGAAGATTAAAATATTGATCTATATTTTGATATCTTTAATTTCTTCTTTATTTCAAAAGGTATTTTTGTTAATACAGTATAACTTCATAAATTTGGCATACTTGGAATCTAGCACCTGCTGGACATTTGAAAATTCCAGATTTTTGAAACCAGAAAAGTATATGGCCTGGCGCTACCTGGCTAGCCAGGAGCGGGGTGGGGGGAAGCTTGCAGGCAGAGGCTGCCACCACCAACCACCTGCCCATGCTGCCACTCCGCGTGTGGCTGCCACTACTCCTTTCCCCCACCCTTGCTCTGTGACTGGCCACCAGGGGTACACTGGTCAAAAAATGTTGGAAACCCCTGATATAGTATATTTTTAAATAGTTCTGAATTTCTGAGAAAATTTTGAAAACTGGATTTATGAGGTTATACTGTAGAATTCCTAGCAGTTAATTTCCAGCCTGTACTTTAAGAACACTGAACCAAAGAACAGTGAGAAATATAACAGTTAACTGGTTAATTATTAAACTCATGTTGTTACCTCTCAGCTCTGTGATCTTGGGAACCCTGGCACAGTATGCAGCCTGTCTGACTCACAAAGAACTCTCCCCCGCCAGCCTGAACAAGAACTGATTTAGAGGAAGGACTTACAAAAGACAAGGAAGATGCTGTGGGAGACGCACCTAAACCCCTCCAGACAAAGTTGACAGGAGTGAAGCAAACTCCCCTGGTCTCATTTGCATCAGAGATGGAACCGGATGACAACTCATTTAAATGGGAGATGGGATAGGCATGCACCTTCATTAGCATTCGGGATGGGGAACAGAGATTCCAAGGCAAGGACCGCACTGAATTCTGGGATCAGAAAAGCAGGGGAGCACTGCATGATGGGGAATCCTTGCTCCAAATACTAATCAATCCACATCTACACAGCTCAGCATTTATCACACCAGTTATAGTAATGACTCCTCTATTGGTATCCAAAACACTGAATTTGCCTGTCTGTATTGTGATCTCCCTCAGGATGATGCCACCCATAGCCAGGAGTGATCAGTTCCTATTATCCACCATATGAGCTATTGGTTTACCCCTAAACAAACCTAGCGTTCTCCCTTGAGCCATTGTTAGTTCTCTACAAAACCCCTACCCAAGCTCAAGTTTCTGTCCTGGTGCTTGGATCCAAAAGCTGCATTAGGTTCTACTCCTTTTCCGCCAGGAATCCCTCCATTGATCATGCTGAGGACTCTGCCTGTCTGCAAGCTCCAACATCACTTGGGAACCTCGACTGGTTCAAGCTTCGCTGAGTGGTGAAACCCCAACTCTCTCTCTCTGACTCCAGGAACCTGACTTTTATTCTCTTATTCCAGACAAAGCTTTCTAAACCTGACTTTTGCCTTCTCACTCCAGGAACAGCTTTCTAGACTGGACTTTTGCTGATCACTCTCTCTCCCCCTCTCTGCCTCTAGGAACCTGACTTTCATTCTCTTACTCCAGGCACAGCTTTCTAAACCTGACTTTTGCTAATCAAACTCGAGCTAGACTTCCCCAAAAACCTAATTGAAACTATGTAATACTGTAATTGTTTATTTGTCTCTCTCTTGTATTATTACTGGTATAATCATAAGTTCATATACTTGGCAATGAATAACTTTTATTGTCAAGGTGGTTGCTATACTTTCTCACTGAACCTCACCTACTCTTTCTTTGCCTTGACCTCCCCATTTGCTCTGCAGCAATGCTTCTTTTACCAAAGCCAAAGATCCCTGTAATGCCCAAAACCACAGTGGGGTCTGCTCATCAAGGGGGTTACTACTAGGACCACTGTGACAAGAGATTGTGATGTGCTGAGTTTTGAGGCACATGAGGGTATCAGCTGAAAGTGCTGATTGGACCCAGCCTGCTCAGACATACTCTGTTAGCATGTGTCTAACTGCATTTATTATTGTTCTGCTGAAATAAGGGATGAACTGAGTTCAAGGCACATGAGGGTGTCACTCAGATGTGCTCTGTTAACCTGTGTGCTTGTGTCTGACTGCATTTTATTGCTGCTCTGAGGAACTGAGTTCAAGACATATGAGGGTGTTAGCCTGTCAATCCTAAATAACCCAGCCTGGCTCAGGCGTGTCCTGTTAATCGGTGTATGTGCGTACATGTGTTTGATTCAGTGGTTGGAGGAACCCAGCCCCATTGAACTGAGTCCTGCAAGATAGCTTCAGTGGGGGTGAGGACTTGCAGAAAGGAGAGATACAGCTCCATATAGAAACACAAGTAACACAAGCAGCACATTGAGAGAATTACAGAGACCCCCAGCAACATACCCCTAATAAATGAGCACACCCCAAAGTGACAGGCAAATCTGGTAACAATGTGTGTTTTATAATTATCTTTCTCACAATTTCACTCATTTCTTTTTTTACCCTCTTCATCCCCAGTAAACACAGGCAAAAGACTGTCAGACTTCCTTTTCCCTATAATAAATAGATATGAGCAGGCTATTTAGATTAAAGCGCATACTACATAGTCTCAAAATACTTTTCAGCAACATTACCTAATGATAATTTTGCAATTTCTTCAAAGTCATCGACTCTCTCGACATTTTCAAGGGATTCCTTAACTTTTGCAGCTTCACTTGAATATCCTGGACGGTTGTATGTAACATCTGCTGACTTCGGTTTATCATGTTCCTTGGACTTGGAGGAGGGAAAAAAAAGTCTGTTACACTTTCTAGTAATGTACTTCAGGCAATATGAACCGTCAATTCATCAGGTATGATTATTAATGCTGCCAATCCCACCTACTGTACTGTGCAGGTAAAAAAAAAAAGAAAATTACCAATTCACTACTAACAGGAAGCATACTTTTGGCTCAGCTCCATCAACTAACATTTTTTATTTTGTCCATGACTTCCTTCTAGCCAAGAACCAATGAAGTTTACAATATTGGCTAGGTTCATGCATGCCTCTCCACCATAAACAACAATTTGAGTACCACACTTCCCTTGAACTTTGGGCAAAACAAAGGAGGAATGACTTCCTATGATAAGAGAGTCATTTGGCCCACACCTCTGCAGTACAAAAGGTACACTTAATAATCATAAAATACACAGTAGGACTCATGTCTTCATAAAAGTAGACTTGGTAACTTTTCTTTCCAATGTAACTGACAGAGGCACATCTCTAAAGGGCCCATCTCTTTCCTACATTGTGAAGGAAAGGATACATGACACCATCAGCCTGACTGAATGACATACTGGAAGTGAAAGCTATAGCATGATGGGCAACTTCTAGATCAGAGAGAGAGAAAATACTTAAACTGGATTTGGGAAAATAATTATAGGAAAAACACAAATGGGAGTTGCATACTTCTCAGCCTTTGCTGCTTGCTTATCTGTGTGAATTACCTAAATTCTGTGACTTACAGAGTGCTTAACACAATGGACCCTTGATCATGGTAGAGATCTCTTGGCATTACTGGAATACAAATAACAACACTGACCTGTTAAGACAGATGAGCTGAAATGTCAATATTGATGAATGGTCTCATAAGGCTAAATGAGCCTGCAGTTGAGATTTGATTTTTTTGGAATTGAGATACAAATGTTGATAGTACATAGGAACTTAAATAAAAAATCCAGCAGAACTGGGATGATTCGTTTCTTGGTATTTTATTTTTCCTTTAAAAAAAAAAAATCAAACTAATATTGATAATGGAAAGAGAATTTCATCACCACCTCTTGTGTAGATCAAGATTAGAAAGCCTGGAAGACACTGGGAGAGTATTTCTGGAGGAATACTGCAGTTTGTTTAGGACTTTCTATCTAGTAGTCAAGCTTCCACATTCATTTTCTCTGGATTGGAATTCAGGATTAGAAAATGAGTTAGAAGATCTGTTCTGCTGTACAGACTGTCTGAGGACTTTGTTTGGTCTGAGAGTCCTATTTGGGGTGATTTTTTTTGTTTGTTTGTTTGTTTTAATCCTGATTCTGATCCTCCTAACATCAGAAGAGAAAAAGGATACAGAAATAAAATGGTCATGAATCTGTTTGGGTCTGGAACAATTCTTAGGGTATGTCCACACCACTTCTACAACACCCCTGAGAATGACAAGGAGAAGCACATCTCACCCACCTACTTCTGTTCCACATGTGTCAACTCCAGGCATGAGACAGCCAAGAAGCCCTGTGGGCACTTCTGACACTACTCCAAACAATGCCAGAGACAAATGCTTGAGAGCAGACACCAGAGATGCCCATGAGATGGCTTCAGTGTCCCATTGCCATGCTTGGCATGGAAGCAAGGGCACAGGCTATACTTCTTGGTTTTCTTCTTAAGATCACAGAAGAAGCACTATACATATTTCCTAGTCGCTGACATCTTAGCCAGCCCATTTGTGCTCAGTTCATGTGTTGAGGAGGTGAGGGGTGGGGAGAGGTTGTGAGTGTGTGGTGTATTTGCTCTAAGGATTGAGTGACATTGTGCCTAGGAAAGAATCTGCAGTTCTCTGATGCTTAACTTCATGTGCTTGTCTTAAGGCATCAAGATATAATTTTTCTCAATTTATCCCAAATGTCCTAATAATTGTGATGGCTCTAATCTCTCTAGCCTGAAGCCTCTTTCACCTTAACCACATTCCTGTCTAGTCTTGGGCCTCGGATATATATTCCTTAACCTGAAAAATCCTGGCAGTGATTGCCAGCCTTATCACCTACATTTTGAAGGAAAGATCCTAAAATGGAAGGAAGATGTTGGAGGAGCCAAAAAGGAGCAACATTCTTCAAGATTTGCTGATCATGAAGAATGAGGAATTTTTTAAGGTGAAAGGCAACTTGAGTGACAGTGACCATGAAATGACAAGCGTTCAAGATCCTAAGGGAAGGAAGGAAGGGGAGCTGCAAAATAAAGACACGGGACTTCCAAAAGCCAAAGTTTAAATAAACTCTGGTAACTGCTGTGCAGGATCTCAGGTCTAAGGGGAAAAATAGTCCAGGGGAGCTGGTTATACTTTAGAAATCATATTAAGGGTGCAAAAGCAAACTATTTTAATGCAAAGAAAGGATAGGAAGTGCACCAAGAGACTGGCTGAGCAAAGCAGTAAACTCTTCAATGAGCTGAAACTCCAAAAAGGTTTCCACTTTTAGCAAGATACCTTTCCATGTTGCTAGGGATGAGTAAAAGAGGTATACAGGAAGAGAATCGGGAAGGCTGAGGCACAAATAGAGATGCAGCTAGCAAGGGACATAAATGGCAACAGAAAGCATTTTACAAGTGGAGAAGGGGAAGGCTAACGAAAATGGGTCCCTTACGGAGTAGACAGAGCAATCTAATAATAGTTAATGCAGAGAAGGCTGAAGTACTTGACTTTTTTTACTTCAGTCTCTACAAATTAAGTCAGCTACCAGATGATAAGCTTGGGTTGCAACAAGGATGTGGGAAAAGAGAATCCGCCTAGAGTTGGGAAAGGGAAGGACAGGTTAGGGAAGCTGAATGTTTTCAAGATGAAATTCATTCCTCAAGACCATGTCTGAGGTACCTGCAGAAGCACTAGCTCTTCCCTCTGAGTACTCACGGAAGTCTGAGGTCCTGGTTGACCGGAAAAGAGCAAATATAATGTCCTTCCTTCAGAAAGGGAAGAAGGAAGGTCCAGGGAATTACAGGCCAATCAGCCTCTCATTGATACATGGAGATGATGGTCATGGAGTAGGTCACTACTGAATCCATTTTTAAACACCTCATGGACAACAAGACTATAAGAAACAGTCAAAATGCATTCATCAAAAGCATCTGAAAAGGTAACAAGTTTGTGGATTGGGAGAGAGCAATAGATATTATTCACCTAGATATTAAGATGGCTTTGAATACTGTCTCCCATGACATTCTCATTAAGGAAGTACAGTCTAGGCCATATGCAGTAGTAATGGAGTGGGATGCCTGCACAGGTTGGGGGGGCAGTGCAAGTGTCAATGCTGGGTGCACCCCATGCAGTGTGCAGCCCCTGGGGGCTTAGAATTTGGATATCCCAGTGTTTGCATTGGCTATTTCTAGGGAACTCTGTTCAGTGTGCTGATTTCAGACTCTGCGTTCAGTATGCTGACTACTTTTGGGTCTCATTTGAGGATCCCAATCCTATTCTATTCTACCATCGATTATCATCTCTTGCACAGAAGCAAGATCAAATTAACTAAATATTTCCTCAACAAATATTTTAAACACCTACATATTTTATGAGGCAGTGTCCATGAAAAATTCCACAAAATGAGGAACTAGGTCAGAGCATAAGAGATTTTTTTGTTTGTGTTCTTTTTTTTCCAAGAGTTCCATAACAAAGACCTTGTACAACCAGGACGGTCTTGCAGATTAAGGAATAAGAGCCTAATCCTACCCATAACTTCAGTGGCACTTTGCATGAGAGGAATAGTTGCACTGAACATGGATCACATCTTGTATACCTTTAATGAGTAATGAGGACAATATCTCAGTGCCTTCAGCAACAAAAGGGCATCACAATGTATTATGGCATACTAAGAGTCCAAAGTCTTTACTCCAATCTTGACAGAGAAAATTTAAACATTTTAAAATGTTTAATAAATATGAATACATCTTAGAAGAGAGTCACAAAACTTTAAAGTCTATTTTAATTACCATTTTTAATCAAATAAGACAACCTTGAATTTTAAGACAATCCTCCAATAATTAGTAAGTTTCCCATATATAGAATCTAATTTTTTTTTTAATAACTTTCCAGGTATAGAATCTAATTATTGAAGGGTTTTCTTAAATTTATCCTCCCCCTCTGCCCCCACTGCTTCAGCAGAGAAAGCAGTGGCTGGGGGGAATCCAGTGGCCCACCCCCCTTACCTTCTGATCCCTCGCTTATTCCCCCTGCAGCCTTCTTGCTTGTCCCTGCACCCAGCTCCTTACAGTCTCTGTTCTTCTTCCACCCCTCCCCCTCCCCCTTACTATCAGAGGTTGCTTGACCTCTATTTTCTGCCAGATCATGGAGCACAGCACATGGAAGCACACCTCCACTGGGCCCTGCAACAATACTGTGCTGCTGCTTGGGTGGGCAGGAGAGGGAGTTTCCTTGTATTCCATGCCCAGGATGAAATCCAACCCAAGCTGGAGGCGACCTGCGTCTGATAGTAAGCAAGGGAGGAGAGGGGGAAAAGCTGCAGAAGGGGAAGCAGGTATCTGCCCCCCGGGTCCCGTATAGCAGAGCCGGTAGGGAGCCACGCTGTGCAGCGCGAACAGAGCACGCAAACAGGCGCGCTCTGTAAAAGCGCGCCGGCATTTGTGTAGGTGTTCGCGCCGGCAGGCGGGCAGGAAGGGCCAGGAGGGAGACTCCTGTACGGGTAGAGCGTAGACACCACACAGATCTAACAAACAGCAGCTTATACAATGGTGTCGACGAGGAGTGCTGCTAGGGCCTCTGCCCAGGGGGCCATGCCCTCCCGGGGCTGGTCTGGGGCCTTCACCCAGACTGAGCCCATGGGGGAGCTGGTGTCCCCCTGCCTCCTGGCCTGCGGGAGATCCCCAGCAGGGCCAGGGGGGGCAGAGATTGGGGGCCCCCACACGTGTCCGGCAGGTGCCTGTCTTAGGGCTCTGGAGGCGCAGGTGAGGGAGCTCCGGGGGGAGGGTAGCAGGCTGGGGGTT